GATAAATAACAAATATCATTCACACTGTACGTCTCTCCGATATATAACAATTATCAACCACACTGTGCGTCTCTCCGATAAATAACAAATATTAACAACACTGTACGTCTCTCCGATAAATAACAAATATCATTCACACTGTACGTCTCTCCGATAAATAACAAATATCATCCACACTGTGCGTCTCTCCGATAAATAACAAATATCATTCACACTGTACGTCTCTCCGATATATAACAAATATCATCCACACTGTACGTCTCTCCGATATATAACAACTATTAACCACACTGTACGTCTCTCTGATATATAACAAATATCAACCTCACTGTACGTCTCTCCGATATATAACACATATTAACCACACTGTACGTCTCTCTGATATATAACAAATATCAACCTCACTGTACGTCTCTCCGATATATAACACATATTAACCACACTATACGTCTCTCTGATATATAGCAAATATCAACCACACTGTACGTCTCTCTGATATATAACACATATTAACCACACTGTACGTCTCTCTGATATATAACACATATTAACCACACTGTACGTTTCTCCGATATATAACAAATATCAACCACACTGTACGTCTCTCTGATATATAACACACATTAACCACACTGTACGTCTCTCCGATATATAACAAATATCAACCACACTGTACGTCTCTCCGATATATAACAAATATCAACCACACTGTACGTCTCTCTGATATATAACACACATTAACCACACTGTACGTCTCTCCGATATATAACAAATATCAACCACACTGTACGTCTCTCCGATATATAACAAATATCAACCACACTGTACGTCTCTCTGATATATAACACATATTAACCACACTGTACGTTTCTCCGATATATAACAAATATCAACCACACTGTACGTCTCTCCGATAAATAACAAATATTAACAACACTGTACGTCTCTCCGATAAATAACAAATATCAACCACACTGTACGTCTCTCCGATATATAACAAATATCAACCACGCTGTACGTCTCTCCGATAATTAACAAATATTAACCACACTGTACGTCTCTCTGATATATAACAAATATCAACCTCACTGTACGTCTCTCCGATATATAACACATAATTAACCACACTGTACGTCTCTCTGATATATAACAAATATCAACCTCACTGTACGTCTCTCCGATATATAACAAATATCAACCACACTGTACGTCTCTCCGATATATAACAAATATCAACCACACTGTACGTCTCTCTGATATATAACACACATTAACCACACTGTACGTCTCTCCGATATATAACAAATATCAACCACACTGTACGTCTCTCCGATATATAACAAATATAAACCACACTGTACGTCTCTCTGATATATAACACATATTAACCACACTGTACGTTTCTCCGATATATAACAAATATCAAACACACTGTACGTCTCTCCGATAAATAACAAATATTAACAACACTGTACGTCTCTCCGATAAATAACAAATATCAACCACACTGTACGTCTCTCCGATATATAACAAATATCAACCACACTGTACGTCTCTCCGATATATAACAAATATCAACCACACTGTACGTCTCTCTGATATAACACATATTAACCACACTGTACGTTTCTCCGATATATAACAAATATCAACCACACTGTACGTCTCTCCGATAAATAACAAATATTAACAACACTGTACGTCTCTCCGATAAATAACAAATATCAACCACACTGTACGTCTCTCCGATATATAACAAATATCAACCACACTGTACGTCTCTCCGATATATAACAAATATCAACCACACTGTTCGTCTCTCTAAAAAATATATAACATTTGATAAAAGGTTCTTTTTTGACATTTTCAGAAAAAAGTCGTTTTTAATATATTATTTGATATGTGGCGGTGGTTCATTTACCCAAAATGTTTAGTTAACGTGTGTGTTGTGTGAAATAAGTGGCGTTTTTTTCGTGTAAATGTTTTTAAAGGGGTGGGTTTTTCCTGAAAATGTTATCAATGGGCGAGGATTTGGTCTCCCTGACAGTGACTATCGCCAAATGTCGCATACCCGTATTGAAATAATACAATTAGCCCTGGGCTAGTCGGCACGTGCAGAAAACCTCGTCTGAGAGCTCTGACAAGAGCCGGAAATGAATCCGTTTGAGCTCGCTTCTTGGAACCGGACTATACACGGCTCGATTGCCGGAGGAAATAATTTACATAATAGCAGATTGTCCTAGCTCAATTTACAATGTTCGAACAATCACTACTATGAAACAAAAATTTTTATGGTGACCTCTTGACCCTAATCAGAAATGTTCATTCAAAGGCAGTCGGCACGTGGCTGCCAGGATACCTTTTCATCAGGGTTTTTTGAAAGGCCATAAAATGGAGAGGGGCATGGTTTATCCTTGAAAAGAGTACCTTTCTTAGGAATAACATGAATGGCAAGGCCTGCCGTAGACCATGTGATTAATAAACTGTTATCATGTATTTACTTATTTTGTTTGTATTAATGCATGCATTAAGGATGTAGTAGACTTCGTGGTGATTTTTTTTTTCATTTTTTTCTTTTATTATTTTTTCAGCCACGTGACTGTAAACAAATGAGGACGAACGCAAAAGACTTCCGCTGACACACTCGTGCTCATTAATCGCAGAATTTCCCCCATAATACTAGTACGTCAAAGTGTGGGCGTGAACCGGTAGCATCCGCGGGAATTTCCCGGGAATTTCCAACCGTATAGTATTTAAGACAGACTGGTTGCTCGTATGTACTACAAACCTCTACACTGTACCAGAGACCATTATACTACAAACCGCTACATTGTTGGGCGAACACTGTGCTGCAACGTCCAGACGAACAAATCTGTCTTTGAGTGCCGAGTTTCACGATGCCTGTGATTAATAAGAGAAAACGCACAACGACACATTTCAAATCAGTGAGTACAATAATATTTTCTTTCTTAAATACTTCATATGTGATACATATATTATAGATATAGTAATAGAGCATGCATGTAATTATTTCAGTAACTCTTATACTCAACACATCGAGCATTCTGGCTACCGCGATCGCTGTGTTCACTGTCACGTAGTCAGCGTGTCTTAAGGTCAATGTATTGTGTTATGGGGAGTAGATTTTAAAGTACCTTACAGACAGAAGTATGACCTGGCAGTAAATGTTATGTGACTCATATGGTAACGTTGCAAACAACACAGTGTCCTCATACAAAGAAAGACTATATCTATTGGGATCATTTTCAAGTATCGCCAAGCGAATGTTTTGTCATTCAATTTAGAGGTTTGCTATATTTTCACGGATTGTTGATAAATGACATGTAGATATGTTAATGTCTCCCTTGATCTAAAATAAAGTTATAAGTGAACATAATTCCTCAGAACCAGATGAAACAATAACACTCAGCGTGTCTATCATTTATTTTCAGAAATCTGACGTAAATTTCCCGAACGATGGTCACAAAATACAAATACGTGCAGAAGGCAGCAGTTGTAAGGATCATTACTTACAAGTGAACACTTCACCGGAATCAAAGACTACCGTCTACGGAAGAGATGCGTTTCGCTGTAACTTTGGTGGGGCATATGACGATAAACGAAGTAAGTAGGGATTTATTATAGCTATATAGAGGGCGTGTTCATAAACACAGAAGCGTATCCTTGAATCATAGACAGACGTAGTACATTTA